TAGTACCCGGTCTCAGGCGCCGGGGCCCAGGGGCTCTGCCTCGGTTTGCCCTGCCATAGTTACGCCTCTGCAATAACTGCCGCACAATAATTATTTTTTATGGATCACACTGTAAGTCTAGATGTAAAATTCGTCGACCTGAACAATCAAAAATGTGCAGCGCTGCAACAGGTTTCTTTGCCGACTCTGTCCCTCTAAATTTTCTACACACCTTAGGATTGTGTTTCAACTAGGGATGTCGTCATGACGATCAACATTAAAATGTCTTCTAAATAGACGTTGAGTTTTGGTAACAGAATTACTGTTCTAAAAAAATACCTCAATAACAAACGCTTGGTGTTGCGAGATCCACGGCTTTATGGCTATTGGCTATAGACGTGAGTTACTCACAAGTGTGGTAACTTGAGTCGGCGCAGTCAAATAAGTCTCTGAGTTAGCTGACTCGATATCATTTGCATGACCCACGACTTCTTTGAAATATACCATGCTCGCTGGCAGATTGCGTCGCAGTTTTACTTCTTTATATCATGCTACATAGAGAGTTGAATGAGTCGATTCCACGCGGTAGTCGGCGAACTAAACTCGGTATTTGATCGCTAATTTTTATTTTGCAATGGAATAGATTGATTAATGATGATTTCTAAAATCGTTCAACTCTTCTTGAGTCAGCTCACCGAGTCAACTCTCCAGTGAGATTCGGAGTCAATAGAGTAACTTTTTCCATCTCTAATGGTTACTGAAATTGCATCGAGTAAATAGCGAAATGAACCATACAAATCACCTCCACTCGTTCGCCTGACAAATTACAGACCGATCCAAAAACGTCTGGTAAATTGTTGTTCATGGACATCTAATGGACATCACCTAGTGTAATGTTCTATACCGCGTGACACAGCACAATGATCGAAAAGAAATTTGGGGTGCGGAAACTACCGCTTAAAAATGTATTTTTGGATATATCAAGCAATGTGATAGTAATTCCTGTTTGTAATTCAGGAAATGACCTCAACTTTCGATTATTAAATGGGACAGCCTATACACTTTACATATTTCGACTCAATATTTTGGTAAAAACTTTGAAAGTCGATTTTTTTGTTATTAAATTGAATGAAATGAAAATAATTGCAAAAATATAATATGGATATCAGTGAATTCAGAAAAAAAAAATTTAATGATTACAATGAGCCACCACCTTCCTATTTGGAAAATAATTTGATAATAAAGTAATTTGATTTTTTTTAATTTTGGAGACTTCGTAAAAAGGTTCTAATGGAATTAAAAGAAAACTGATATTTTTCCTTGAAACTTACCTGCTGTAGAATGTATTTTGGATTCCAAAGTACTTATAATGCAAATCTTGAAATGCTTGAAAAAAATTGCTCAAGGATTCACGAAAGTCTTATGATATACTCAGAATTTTGCTCTGAATGGAAATATATAAAAACGTACAGGGTGTGCTAAGTAAAAATCGAAAATTGAGGTTATTTTCGGCTAAACAGGAAGTGCTATATTATATTACTTGATATGTCCAAAAATACATTTTTAGCGGTAGTTTATACTCCTAAAATTTTATTTCCATAAGCTCAATAAATAAAGGAAATATAAGGGCGAGAAATTGCTATCACTCGGTATTTAAGAATGGGCAACAAGTCGAAGTAAGTGATGAATGTGATGAAATTGTTCCTTTTTTATTTTATAAGAATTTTTAGTTTATTTGTAAAATTGATTTGTTCGATATGGAAGGATTATTGGTACAAGTATATGTAAATGTCTAATTTTTTGTTAAATTTAACTGTGACAATTTGTACCAATCCATAATTTACAAAATAGTAAGCAGGCCCTGGTGAAACCATTGCCGAAAATAAAATGTCTAGAATAGTTTAAGGATCTTCGTCTAATTAGCATATTGTCGACGCTGTCAAAGGTGTTGGAAAGGAAGGTAGAGATGCAACTACGAGATCACGTGAATAAATTTCATATTTTACCTGAATTACAATCGGGTTTTCGTCCTTTGCACAGCTACGAAACAGCACTTTTAAACATTACGGATGACATATTATGAGGATCAGACTAAAAAAAGGCCACTGTCCTAGTGCTTATCGATTTCTCGAAAGCTTTTGACATGTTACACCACGACCTACTTATTATAATACTCGAGTCCTTAGGCTTAAATAACAATGCACTTGAGTCTCTTCGCAGTTAACTAAAAGACAAAACACAACTAGTTAAAATCGATAATGATGTGTCTGCCCCGTTCAATGTGTAATCTGGTGTTCCACAGAGGTCAATTTTAGGACCGCTTCTAAATACGCTGTACACTTTAGATTTTGTGAAATCAGTTGAGCACTGTCAAATGCTTCTGCTTGTTTATTTTACAAAATCATAAATAAGAAAATACCTAAATACCTGCACAAAAAGCTCATCTAGAGCAGATGTTCATAATATTGATATCCGCTTTAAGGGCATACTTACATCTCCTTCTCTACGTACCAAATCACAAAAATTTATAACTCTATTCACTGAACTGATTCTGCGGTTGGCTCCTTGTGAAACATCATTAAATATTTTAAATATATGAAAGAAAAAGAAATTTGCTTTTTAATGTTTCAAAAATATTTTATTAGAAACTCTACACGTGTTTCGGCTTTTTTAGGCCTTTGTCAAGTATTCTTTGTTAGTATTCCCTGTACTTTTGACAAAGGCCTAAAAAGCCGAAACACGTGTTGAGTTTCTAATAAAATGTTTTTGAAATATTAAAAAGCAAATTTCTTTCATATATTTAAAATAACTCTATTCTATCTTCAATAAAAATTAAACCTTTAGTGGGATTTAAATACTGCCTCGAAAAATACCTTTTAAATGAGCAAAATAGCAGTCTATGTGATTAGTTTTGTGATTCCCCTGCGATAAATTATCTATTTTTTTCCTGTGTTTTATTTTTTAATGTCGTGTGCCAACCAGTAAGCTTATATAAAATGATTTAAATTTTGTGTTTTTTAACTTTATAGATTTTTTTTTTTCAATCTCTTATGACTACTTATTAACGCTTAAGATTGAATACAGGAGTTGCTTGTGCAACCATCTGATCTTGGGCGTTTTTCCTATATCATTGCATACTTTTTGTTTTTCTTATTTACCTGCCAACTTTATATTTGGGAAAATAAAGACCATTTATTATTATTATAATTATTTTTATAAAAGGAATTTATATGTTCATTTATTCTTATCCTTTTTTTTATTCTTTCCTTCGTTCCTATATTTATTCATAATCCTTGTTTTGTTTTGTTTTATTTTTTATTTCAAATTAGTTTTTCATTGTGCATATTTTAAAACTCTTTAAATAATCAAAATTTATTAATGAAAGGACATGGTACTGGATACATGGAATCCTATGGATTTACCGATTTTTTTATTTTTGGGTTTAATAAGGACATTTTTGTGCACTTCAACGTCTAGACACCCTATAAACTTAAGAACGCTATTTCTTCTACAATATGCAGTTTTTTTACAAAAGAAGATTATGTTGGCTAATTGATGAATGAAGCCTTAAAGCATTCTCAAAGGGTGTACTTAAATCAGTGCTTTAACGGTATACAGGGTGTATTTATAAAATGAAAGGTACATACGTATTTTTATGGTATCCAAAAGATTATATCTTTACATTTTTTAAGTCTTAACACATAGAATAATGCCTAATTATTAAAAAAAACATGTTTTTGGCGCTTTTTACCAGTGGCGTATGGAGTTGTACATATGTGAAATTATTGCGTAAAATGATAAAATCTCTGTGTTGGCCTGTGATTTGAATGTTTTGATGGTATATAGGTTTTATATTTTTTCTATCAGTGACGTACGTGAGGTGCACATATTTGAAATAATTGCATAAAATGTTGAACCTATCTGTTTTGATCCGTGATATGAATGTTTTGGTGGTATATTATTTTTTACATCCTGTATACCATTAAAGCACTGGTTACAGTAAACACTTAGGTGTTTAATCTGCTTTTGTGAAAAAGCTTTTCATATTGTAGTAGAAGTACAGGGCGTCTTTGAAGTGCATTTCTTGGATCACCAGGTATACACACACAGAAATGTCCTTAATAAAAGTTGCTTCTCTTGAGCAGTAGAAAATACAGTCGAACGTCTCTAACTCGATCCTCCTAAATCCCCCCCCGAGACTGTTAGAGGAAATTTGAGCTAAAGGAAATACTTCTAAAATGCAGTATACATTAAGGGCATAGAAACATACTTGAGTTACAGAAAGTTTCGAGATTTAAAAGTTCGGGTTATAGAAGTTCGACTGTATATACAAAATTAAAAAAAAAATCGGTAGGTCCATAGGAATCCATGTATCCAGTGCCATATCATTTGAAATTTGTGGGTAAAATTTCCTCTTGTTTATGAAAAAAATACGTTGCCTATATTTTAAAAATTGTCTAAAAGTTTCCTGGGCGGCAAACCATTTTTGCCACTTTTTTTTAATTTTGACCGCAATCTTTCTGCAAAACTTCTTTATTTAAGTATTGAGGGGCATGCCAAGTATCATTTGTGTCTCATGCTCTAATATTAAGATATAGGCGCCACTGGTCATATTTATTAAAGGTGCTTATTAAAAATTATTTAAAACATGATAATTTTTAAATTTTATCTGGCTCCGTGGTCTAGAGGTAACGTACTTGCCTCGAAACCTCGGGGTCCCGGGTTAGATTCCCAGCCATGGCACTGGGATTTTTCTGTGAGAGAGATTAATCGTAGTATACTCGGATATTGGATGTATGTCCGTTGTCTGTTAATGTGTAATCCTCTCCCGCACAATGTCACTTAAGACATTCAGAGATAAACGGGGTTGTCATTACATGTGGTGTTGTTATTGTTATCTACCGAAAATTCGTTTCTGAACATTTTAAACTCAAACATCAAAAAAAGTTTGTGTATGTATCATTCTATTGACCGCATTAATAAATGTAATGTTTTAGGTGAATACAAATACATTTATAACCTCGTGGTCGAGTGGTAATGACACTTGCCCCTCATCCTGGAGTCCTAGGTTCGATCCCCGGTTGAGGAGCTAGGATGTTTTCTAAACAAGAAATTAATCCTAGCATACTCGGACATTGTGTCTGTGTCCATTTTCTCTAAATGTGTAGCCCTCTCCCACACATTGAAATACCTTCAGGGATACAGGGGGGTTATATTACCTACGGTGTTTAATAAATAAATAAATAAATAAATGTTTTGTCATTTTACAAATAACAATTTTAAAGGCATCCAAAAATAAATAAAATTCCAGTAGTTAATTACTTTATGTTGTGTTTGTTCAGAAGGAGCTGTCTGCAAATTTTTGTTGGAGGATTCTGAAACGTTCGTGTTATCTATAAACGATAAGATCTTGAGGATTCCATTTTATGTACCGTCATAATTACTAGTTGTTCTATAATACAATATACAATATAAAATTTCTCTGCATTTTTCTTAGTCATATTATGATGCTTTTTAGTAATGATTTTCATATTTTTTAAGGGGGTCATAAAATATTAACATTATGACATGTTTTTTAAATCATTATATGCATTTTCCGGCAGCATTAAATTTATTAACTTGCTAAAACATAATCTGTAAAATTCTCTGATTATGTGTGTAAATAAATGCGTGAATTCCTAGTAATAAAACGATAAAATGGATTCTCAACGCCAAGCAGTTACTGTAACCGCTCGACAACTTAATCCGTGGGTGGATCCTAAATTAGAAAACTTTAGAATACAAAAAACATTACCTTGATCAGCTGATCGTTCACGCAATAGAGTCATCGCCCATCAGGGAACCTCTTAAAGTTAAGTGCTGAAAGACTGTTTTATTTATATTAGCATGTGGAAATAATCAATGAAATAAAATTTCAATTTATATTAATTATATAATTCGTCAAGTCAGTACTTAAGTATGGTTTTCCACATGTTTAAACGCATGTTTCGTGTATCAAATGAGTTATATGAAAACTGTTAGCAATGGATGGTGAACATATTGAGGTCATTATTAAATGAAATAAAATTACACATAAAATGTACCTATAAAAAAAACAAAAATTTTCAAAACTAGTAAAATTTTCAGAAAGTGTCACCCCAAATTCCAGTAATAAGGTGAGAGGACTATATAGGGTCATAAATTTAGAAGCTGACGATTTACCAAAACATGAGAAAATTTGGCGTGAACATAGTTCCGAAATACCTCATTGAAAAATGTTTTTTGTATTAATAATCACACAGTCAATATATTACACGATTACCACATTATATGCTACAATTTTGGTGAGGATATATGTGAGTAACTTCAAAAATTCTTACCTAAGGTAATTTGTCAGCTTTGGCACAGCCGAAACTGGGTGAATCCATTTCCCTTCATTTTTCAAAGTTTAACTTGTCTGAAATTACCCCAAGATTTTTAACACCGTCACTAAGATACATGGAATCCTATGAACCAACAGATTTTTTTTTAATTTTCGAATATGTTATTCTACTGTTCAAGAAAAGCAACTTTTAATAAGGGCATTTTTTGTGTGTGTTTAACTGGTGACTCACTCTTATTTTTGCGTTACTCCAATACATCAGCAATTTGTGGTTGATCTCTATCTGCTACATATGTAACTGATCAGAGTAACAAATTTCTTGGGTAACGTATGTTTTGCTCATGTCTTGTATAACCTAACAACCATAAGATGCTTGTTATAGACAAAAACAGAGTTTCAACATTTTAAGCAATTATATCAAATATGTGAATATGTGGTAAAAAAACGCAATAGTTTCAAATGTTATGTGCACCCCCGTATACCACTGGTAAAAAGTGCCAACAATTTTTTTAGGCGTTATTATACGAGAAGTCTTAAAAAACGTAAAAATAATTTTTTGGACACCATAAAGAATAGATATATACTTTTTATTTTACATATACCCATCTATATCATTTAAAGTACTGATTTAAGTACACCCTTAGAGGGGAGTTTTAAGACTTCATTCATCACTCAGTCAACACAATCTTTTTTTGTGGAAAATTTTTGAACTCAGTAACTGTAGGTTTGATCTGCTGAATAAATAAAAGTGATTTTCTTTGATAGACATCTTTGTTTCATCGTTTTAAATAACCTGTGACGGTTCCACATAGATATCATCCCGGCGCGGCGTTACAAAATATAAGAGGTCAATGATAAAAAAAAAACATTTTCCGCAAATATCTCGCTTCCTGTAGGTCGGAGGCGAATGTAGATTATTACGAAAGTTAGTCTTAAAATTGTGTACAAAAAAAGGCTCTATACATTTTTAACGTACGAGGAACCGTTTTTGAGTTATTAAGCAAACAAAGTATAAAATGTACGCTGCATCTGTTTCCGCACCACCTTGGAGACCTTGAAATGCAAGGCGCAATTTTCTGACATGGTTTCCCCACTAGGCCTAATCTATGTTCTTTGTCTAATTTTTGGATTTGCAATTCATTGAAATGTTCTTCTGGAAATTGTTGACCCACATCTTTAGCGTCATCCCCATCCTCAATCATATTCGATACCAAAAGATCAATGGGATTGATCTCATCATATTCGGTGTTATCAAATCTGTCGGAAGAATCAACCGAAGTAGCATCAGGAGTGGCATTAAGGTATGATTGTCCATGACAGTTACCACAAACTATTGAGCACGTTAATCCCATTTTTCTGCATCCACAATTTGTACCGCAACATTTTGCTCAATTGTAAAGATCCTGTTAAGAAGCACATCCGGCGCAGGTGATAATAATGTTGCGATTAACTCCAAAAAGTTGTTATTTAACACCCACCCGCACTGTTCTGGATCTACGTCCTTTCCTAACCAAGTTTGCACTTGATAATACACACAGTATAGGTGTTGTTGAGTAACTGCAGCTGCGGATGCGAGAGATGATAATTTCACTAGCGTATTGAGTGTAGTCGATTTAACAAAATAAGTACCTATAATTGTCAATAGAATTTTCAGAAATTGGAGCTCCTTACATCGCTAAAATAAAACTTACTCCATTATTAACTATAACCTTGTTGAAAAACTTCTAGAGATGGGTGCAAATCAGATCATTTATCAAACATTTTTATCACATTAAGTTTCCCTTTATTAAAGAGCACAGAAGTGGTATCACATCCGGTCATGGCGTGTAAAAATAAAATATGTTGCATATAATGAGCATATTTGTGGATTTGAGAAACTGTATAATTATTTTTTTTGTTTCCCTTGCCAGGTTTCATGACTAAAATTTGTTGATGCGGATTAGTACGCCCTATGAGAATGACCAAGTTTACATCTTCGTCAACTATGCGGTGTTAAATATTGATCTTTCCATAGCAGTTTTAATAATTAAAACATCGGCATCCTCCCAGGCTTATGTAGCCAAAAGAATTAAACACGGGCCTGTCTAGTGGACATTCTTGTAGTATGACCACAGAGTATTTAGCTATACAGAGGCGAAAGAAAGCCTTCCCGCCAAAACCAACTTTGTATGCGCAAGTGCAGAATCGCCATTTTTTAACTGGTATATGAATGAATCTCCCTTTTGTCAGAGCTTTTGTGTTTACGTTTATTTGTTTACTGTGTTTGTTTATGTTCAGATTTGTGAGCTTTTTCTTTGTTTGAATGGTGTTTAATTAATTAGAGATGATCTGTGTTATGTTGCTTTGTTGTTATAAAAATGTAAAGGAGGAACTATTTGTGTTATTCGCGGATGTTCATCGAAGACTGGTGGAAATATATCGTTATTCTCCTTTCCAAAAGATCTTTTAAGGTATGTAAAAAAATTAATTATAGTATAGAATTGACAATATATTAATAATAGACACATAAACATTGTAATTTTAACAAGTCATCAGTGAGTGAACTAAGGGATTTACTGCAATTTGATGCATTTTCTCTGAAATTCATCACATTTGAATAATAAAAAGTTCATTATGATGTATATACCATAAATTCAAGAGATTGAAATGTATCTCATATATTACATTGGAATAATAATTATTTTTATTTTCAGAGCCGAATCGTGGTTGAGAGTTTGTAACCGAGATGATTTGCTCGGCAAAAGTTTGGATGTTTTGCATAAAAATTACAAAGTATGTGAGAACCATTTAAAAATAAATTCTCACAAGTTAGTGGAACCCGGAAATATTTATTTTAACACGCAGTTCCCACTATTGTTCCTGAAAATTTAAGCGTTTATTAGTATAAATTATTGCAGTTGATGTTAGTTGTCAGGAACCACCCATAAAAGTTGTGGTTATTTCTGGTAAGTAATATTTACAAAGTAAGAATTACTGTGTAACTAAACAATAATAATAGTTTTTAAATAACCTCACACGAGCACAATTAGCAGTTTTGTTATTAATAATAATGTACCATTAAGGTAACCAGGATTGCAAATTAGTTTATTATGGGTTGCCCATGTAATGCCCTTAAATATTCAATCGCGTGTTTGAGGATTTCTGGCTGTTACAAAAAAAATGTATTCCATTATACAAAAAACAAGATTTTTTTTCTCTGGCTTGGATTTGTTAATTTGTGCAGGAGTGAAGGGGACGGCCTCATTTTTTTATGCTCTGCAAGTAGAAATGAATATACTTGGTTTAGTAAAATAACAAAAATATTGTTAATGTTTTTATTATTTGTGCGTGGTCATTATCCTATGTAAACTATTTATAAAATTACAGAGGCCTGCATGGTTTTAGGGGTCTACAATTTTTTACATTTTTAAAGTAAGTCGTTCTGAACTCTGCAGTATTATTAGTTTTCGTGTATCACGCACTGTTTACTCTAAACATACATAACGACATTATTAGTAATTAATACATATCTTTTTAAAATAAAATTGTTAAGGACCACTGCCTTCTAATCTAGACGTCTCTAGTTAAAACCAGAATATACACACAGTATTCGAAAAGCACATACAGCAGTCAGTAGTAAGTTAACTGTGGTTGAACGTGTGCTTACAGTATATAATAGCGTGATAAAGTTATTAAAAATTCGTCATGTCCTCAAGACATTGTAAAAACAGCGCCGATGTGTTTTGTTA